GCATTTAGAACTTAGGACAGTTTCAGGGCTTTAAGGGACAAAACAGTGAATACGTTTGTGAATGGGGCCAGATCTGCAGCCTTAGAAGTAAAATTCTGGGCTTAACTATGGTGCTGGGTATATGCTAGGTCAGGAATTCTCAAAGCTTTGGGGCTCAAGATTCTTTTATATTATTAAAATTTATTGAAGATCCTCAAGAGCTTTTTATAATGTAGCTTATATCTACTGATAATTAGAAATTACAACAGAGCAGGGAGCCTGGGTAGCTCAAATGGTCAAGCGTCTGACTTCAGCCCAGGTCATGGTATTGGGCTGCTGGGACTGAGTCCTGCTTGGGGTTCCCTGCTCAACGGGGCATCTGCTTGTCCTTCTGCCTTTCTCCCCATTTGTATTCTCTCTCTCTCTCAAATAAATAAAATCTTTTTTTAAAGATTTTATTTATTTATTTGATAGAGAAAGAGAGATGGTGAGAACAGGAGCACAAGCAGGGGAGTGGGAGAGGGAGAAGCAGGCTTCCCGGTGAGAAGGGAGCCTGATATGAGGCTCGGTCCCAGGACCCTGGGATCATGACCTGGGCTGAAGGCAGATGCTTAACTGACTGAGCCACCCAGGCCCCTCAACACTATTTTACATTTTTACATATATTTATCTGAAGAGAAGAGAGCTGGATTCTTATATCTACTTCTGGATTTCATGTGTTGAAATATATTGTTTTGGTTGAAATAAAGTAATAAAATGCAGCCTCACATGGATAAGTAGTTGGAAAAGGAAAAGTATTTTAATGGCTTTTTCAGACACTTGTAGATCTCCTTTGATACTATGCCAAAACTTGACAAGTGGTGACTTCTTAAAGATTAGTTGTCATAAGTAATCTGAAACCCCATCAATGAGCTTTCATATTCTGTTACATTAAAATCCAGTGGTCATCTTGCACTTTGAAACTTTTTTGCTGATGTGTGATTCTGTAGCATTTTACTTGGTCATTTGAGAAATATTGGTTCACTGAATTATGCAAACATGCTAAATTTGACACATTTCATTTTTTAATACCAAAAAATAACATTAGTTAATATCAACGTCAATGTCATTGAAAGGTTTTACATATTGAGAAGCTGTCAGGTTCATGGCAGCAGATCCAAGTTTTCCTAAATTCTGAGTTTAGCTTGGAAGCTAGATTTCTATCATTGGCAACAAATACAACAAATATTGTCAGCTGTTTTCCTTGAAATGACAGTCTCATTTCATTTATTCCTTAAGAAATGTCTACCAAATACCCAAGTCCAAGTAATCCGTTCAAGTACAAATAGTGTTCCATGAGCCAAAATCAGTGTCCCAAGGAACCTGTCACTCAGTCACACAAGTGCTGTTCCTCGACTATCCTCACACCTCCAGAGGCAACAAAGAGCTCTACATGTACCTCCGGGCTCATAAAACAAAATTAAAAAGAAAAGATGTGTGTTCAGGATTTAATACAATTAGTCATTTTACGGTTTCACCTTGAAAGAAACTGGCTTTTTTTCTTTAACTGTATGTGACGCTCCCTTTATTCAGACAAAAACGATTTTACCCACCAGTCCACAAAGTGAGCGAATGTGTCAGTATTCTTATCAAAACAGTGTTGACCTTGTGGACTCTCCCTAGAAAGAATCTCAGGGACTCCCCCAAAGTCCTAGGGGACACCTTGAGAACCACTGCAGTCGACAAAGCGTCTCGCTGGTAAGGCAACAAGGGTCTTGATTTCATGTGGGGTGTTGCTAACTGAGCATTTGTGAGCTAGACTTTTCCATTCCGTTGGCTTGAAGTCTCCTGGTCTGGTTTTTGGTTTTTTTTTTTTTTTCCTTTTATATGTGACTTGAAACTTTTAATGTCACATTTATAGTTTGGCATGACTGCCCTAAACAAAGCCCTACAAACTTTCCACATCAACTGGCTATAGTTACCATTGGTGTTTTCATTTTAGGGCTTGAAGAAAAGGCGACTTGTATTGTGGTCCTAATTCATGAATACAACACCGTTCCTCGAGTTCACTTGCCGCGTGTGAGAAAAGCCCCCTTTACCATTTCTCCCATTTTCTGCTCTTTCTCAGGACAAATTGTTAGTCTCTAAGGACACTTGTTGTCCGCCACAAAGTATCTGATTTAAACATTGCATCCTTGTCTCCTTAGTCAAGTTCTGTATTTGTCTGTCAATTTTTTTCTTCTTCTTTACTTCTTTCCCTTCTGGAGCTGGAAACCAGGCAGTGAGAGGATGACAAGTTTTAAAAGGTCATTTTTTGAATAAGGAATTGTCTGCGGGCAGGTTTTCCAGAGTGGTGTGTTTTGTGTTTTAGTGAAGGGAGATGAGGTAAAGATAGCATGTTCCTGCTGGTCAGACCTGTCTGAAAGTCCAGGTTTCTGCACTACTTCATTTCTCCTCGTTTACATATGTACTCCCTGAATCAATAATAAACTATGGCAAAAACAAAACAAAACAAAAAAAACACAAAAAGCAAAATCTGTAGGCTTCTTATGCACCTTTAACTCTCCAAGGAAAGTCTCATAGGAAAAAAGAAAAGTGTATCCACTTGGCTCTCCCCTTTCTTCATTAGGAAATCCTTCTCAATGTAGTTCAGTGTCGTTTACTCAAGGTACCATTAAGGCTAATTTTCTTTTTCCTAAAGGAAGAGACAAAGTAAATAAGATAAAGAAAAGAATAAGCAGTAATGTTGGTCGGGTTCCAGGGAATGTTATCAGCATCTTAATTGTGAAGACTTTTTAGTTTCGTGTGGGGCTGATTATTTAAACTCCTGGTGCTGCTGTTTGCACGACGCCGGGAGTCTGCCTGAACTTTCCGGGTCGCTACTGTCAGCAGAGGCTGGGTTATGACTAGAGCGGATCCAAGAGACTCCTGCTCGCTCTCTCTTCACTCACCCTTGCAGGCTTTGAGAGGGGAGCAGACTCTTGCTACTTAGAGGACCAAGCTTCTAAGAAATTTCTGCACATCACTGCTTAGCCTGATGCTGCTTTGCGGGAGACAGCCATTGTTTGACTTCCTTCTTTCCTTCTCCTGTCTTTCTTGCTCGTATCTGTTTTCTCACGATTTGAAACAAATGCTCAGAAACCAGTCAGTGCAGAACAATTGCTGGCTTTCAGTGTTCACCACGTACAGCAATCACTGAAACAACCCTGAGTTCTTACAAAAAAAAAAAAAAAAACCATCCTTGTGTATTGACTTTCTCAGAGCCACAAGATCCATGGGAGGTGGTGGGTTTGATGTTCTGCCTTCCGAAAGCATTAGATTTTTGTTTAAAATCTATTTCCTATAGAGTGCATCTCCCTTCCTCTCCCTCTCCCTCTCTCTCTCTCAAAGTAATTACAGGCTGCAGAGTGAAAAGCATTAGAACTGTTTACAAAACAGCTCATAAAGTTTAAAATAATAGGGGTGTGTGTGTTTGTGTAAAACAAAATAATGTGTGTGGCTGGGGTAAATAGTCCACAGGCTTTCTTCTTTCTTCTCCCGCTGCCCCGCATCACCCTCCAGAATTTAAGGCATGGAAATGAGCGGTGGAGTCCCTTTTCTTCTGCCTGGCGAGTCTCACACTTGATTCGCTACGCTTGTTTATCTGATGTCAGTTTATTGTTGCAATTCAAAATACAGACCCTCAGGTGTGTGGGGACAGAGTGGCTGACGAACCGGGCCACTATCTAATTAATTTTAGGGCGGCCTAAATTCCCATGCAGACATTCCCCTGTGACATCCAAAAGAAAGATTTTTTTTTTTTTTTTAATGAACCTTTTGCTATCAGAGGTCCAAGAGAAATGCTTTCAGCAGGTTAGTGCTCTAAAGTGAAAGGGGCATTCTTCCGACCCTTTCGGAAGTCTCATCTTGGGCAGTTTTGCAAAGATTTCGCAGCACTCCCCTCCAGATCTGATTTATTTATTTATTTTAATGTGGAAGGGAAGACTGTACCCTCCGGCTTCAGAGCAATCAATCATTTTGCTTTGCAGGTTTAGATGTGCTGCGGCAAAACCCGTCTGCGGGCAGTGCAGCGCCAGGGCTCTGTGATAGCGAGGCTGGTGCTGACAGTTGAAGGAGGGCTCGGTCCCCTTAGGCGCTGGCACACTGAGGACACGGGCTGGACAGAGGGACAAGCCTCGCCCGGAGGAAGCACCCCTTCCCCTGGCGATTGATGGAGGACAGTTAGGAGCTTTTCGGGGGCTGGGCAAGGTTGCCCTCCCAGTCACCTACTATGAAGTCTTTGTCAGCAGAAAGAACTCTCCTGGGTAGTGAGTGACATAATGCAGATGACAGATGACAGCCTTGCAGTTGATTCTGCTTCATAAGTACTCAGTGTCTGTGCAGGTGAGTCAGCGCACCCTTAGCACACCCACCTCGTGCCAGCCGCTCCCCAGATGCAAAGACTCCCCAAACCCCCCCTGGTTTTGCAGGTGCTGCGGGCACCGCCTGGTCCAGCCTGAGTTTTCCTGGGGATGTTTCAAGGACTGTCAGAGTGTGAGCAGGGAGGGGACCCATGTCACCACTTTAAGGAGCTGATTATGGAATGAAGATATATTTTGAGTCATTTGTTAGCAGCTGTGAATATTGTTTTCTCCTGTTCCTCCCTTTTGGAGTATGGATTTTGTGTATATATATACACGTATATGTGTATATGTATATGTGTGTATATATGTGTGTATATGTATACATGTATGTATATTTATATGTATGTGTGTATGTGTATATGTGTGTGCATATGTATATATGCATATATGTGTGTGTATATGTGTGCATGTATATGTGTGTATATGTGTGTGTATGTGTATGTATGTGTGTATATGTGTGTGTGTATATGTATATGTGTATGTATATGTATATGTGTATGTTTATGTATATGTGTGTATATGTGTATGTATATGTGTATGCTGTTTCAAGAGACTACTTCACACCAAAATCTATATCAAAACCCTTGACTGACATCTTCGCCTTGACTAACATCTCCTTTGTTTCTTCTCCCCCTCTAGGACCCCATCTGCAGAAGTTCTGAAAACCTCTGAGTACAGAAATTGATTATTCAACCAGGATACCTAATTCAAGGTATTAGCTTTTGTCAGAAGACTTTTATATTTGAGCCCTGTGTTGGAAATTCTGTTTTGGCAATGCATTTTGAAATAGGAAAAGTTGGAAGGAGAAGAAAGGACAAAAGTGAATTTGCAAAATATTCAAGTGCTTACAAACCTCCCCAGCGCCTGGGAGGGTTTTGCCACGTCTGACTCATGTGCAGCCCTCTCTCTAACAGTTCATGTGCCAGCTCTCACTTTGTTGTAGCCCTTTCTCTGCAACTGTGTTTGGGGTTTGGATGTCATTTTCATCTCTCCCTCTCGCTTTTGCTCTGACTGCCCAGACCTGCAGAAACCAGGAGGCTGCGACATTCTGTCGGTTTCGTGACATTGGACCAAACACAATGAAGTATACTTGCTGGGCTCTGGTTCTGGCTGTCCTGGGCACAGAGCTGCTGGGGAGCCTCTGTTCGACCGTCAGATCCCAGAGGTTCAGAGGACGGATACAGCAGGAGCGAAAGAACATCCGACCCAACATTATTCTTGTGCTCACTGATGATCAAGACGTGGAGCTGGGTGAGACACTGGGTTTTGCACTTGTTAGTCTTTTTTGTGCAAATGATGTGCTGACCTTTCGCCTGATCAGTAACACTGAGTGAACATTGCGGGGGTGGGGGGTGGTCCTTGACTGGAGGGTCTTAACCAGCAACCTGAGTTTATAAAATGAACTTGTATTGATTATAAGGCTTTTGGTTTTTGTTTCAACATGACTTCTCTGGTCTTAAGTGTTCGAAACTGTCTGGGGAGGGTCCTAGAGTAAACGGAGAGAGAGAAAAGAGCAAGCACGGGTAATATAGAAGTCAAGGATTCGATTATGCACCTTGGTTCTCTTGATCAAGAAGTGTTTTATATATTTGGGCAAAATTGTTTCCAAAAGCATGAGCTTATGGCTGTAATTCTATGCCGTGTATGTGAACACAGATACTATTACTCTCTTCTGTTATTATTATTCAAGTGAATGATATGTTCAGAGCTTGTGATAATTGCTAGGTAATTAAAAGTTACAGTATTCTATGTGTCTCCTGGTGGTAATTCACTGCTACCATCCTGGAGATGAGGCTTTTCTGAAGAATTAGCTATCGTGGGTTCATTCCAGAATGCTTGGAGAGCCTGCCAAATTCTGGCCGTTCCAGCAGAGCTGCTGAACCATCTGATTCCGTTTCTTATCTTCTCACTTTCTTTAATGGCCCAGCTCTATGGTCTGTAAATCTAGGTATGACCTTTCACAGGATGCATAAGAGGCTCGTCCTTACAGATTGTCTCCAGCACTCATTTTCAGCCCTAGAACTGAACTTGGACTTAGTGCTAGCAGAGCAACTGGGCTTCCTTACAGAGCTCTGCAGGCCAGGGTTGTTGAGGAGCAAACCCGCCCCCCCATACTGGAACATGGTCTCCATGGAGGAGGACTTCAGTTTCCAGTTTGATACCAAGTCATGGAATCCCAACGGAGTTAACCCCTTGGGTTATGCTGGAAGCTTGTGCAGTAAAACCCAGCAGCAGGTAATGATTGTTGAAGTTGCTTTGCAGAGTCTGCTGTCTCTCACTTCACTTTTTAAAGAAGAGTATTGGGGCGCCTGGGTGGCTCAGTGGGTTCAAGCCTCTGCCTTCGGCCCAGGTCATGATCCCAGGGTCCTGGGATTGAGCCCTGCATCGGGCTCTCTGCTCAGCAGGGAGCCTGCTTCCTCCTCTCGCTCTGCCTGCCTCTCTGCCTACTTGTGATCTCTGTCAAATAAATAAATAAAATCTTTTAAAAATAAATAAATAAATAAATAAATAAATAAATAAAAATAAAGAAGAGTATTGATTTTCAGGCAACATGCCCAGGTGAAGCCTCGGAGGTACGACTTTAGTATGAGTGTGGCTTGTACTTTAAGTTTTCGTTTACCTATAGAGCAAGTAAAATGAGGTGAACGCATTTGATTTCACCTTCCTTAACAACCTCAAATCCATCCCTTTCATTACAGCCAAGATCTCCAGACCATTCTCTTTTCTCTAGTGCTTCCCTAACTGATTAGTCAGTACCCTGACCTACCTGTCTCCCGTAGTCTTGGTGCCTCTTGCCTATTCTTCACTCCATGATTGGAGTTATCATGCCAGTATCTGATCAGGTCTGTTATACTTAAAACTCGCCATGGTTTCCCATTGGCAAGAGGATTAAGCAACTCTCCTCCATAGCAAATGAGCTCTGGACCATCTGGCCGCTGCCCATTTTTATGAGGCTCTTCCTTTTCCCCCACTTTTGCTCAGTGCTTCATGGAAATAACTCATGCTTCCTTGAAGGTGTCTGGTGGTTTCATCTCCCTCACCTACATTTCATGACTTTGTACGTCTTGTCTCCTCTGTCTTTCCCCTCCCTCTCTCTCCATCTGGAGAAGCCCTACCTATTCATGATCTAATTCAAATGCCTTGCCCTCGGGGGTCTTTCTTCACCAAAACCATTCTCCCCTCCAGCAGGGTAGATGGAACTTTCCTTTGTACCACCTTGGACATGCCTCCAGCATGGCCCTTAATCCATCATGTGTTTCCATACTTGTCTCTTCCACTGGCCTGCGAGCAAGGTAGTGTTTTACTGGGACCATGCAGGAAATATAGTAAGTGCTGAATAGATTCCAAGTGGACCGATGGGGGCCTGAGAATGCTAAAAAAAATTCTCAGAAGTGAATACAGGTATCTGTTGTAGTCTACCTCTTCAATATACAGTCCTCGTCTTTAAAATAAATTAAGGACTCATTTGACAATTTTTTTAACAGATTTCAAAATTTCAGCCTTTAGTTTCACCCTATAATTAGTTAATTTATCCAGCAAATATTTCCTGAGCAAATATTTCACTAAGTGGAAGCATATGGATATAATAGACACAACTCGTAGCCCAGGTTCTATCAACCCAGTTGTTTCCTATGTATTTGTCTCTACCTCCTTCTTGATTTTCCAGCCAGATACAATGCTAAGCATTCATTCATTTACTCTTCCCAATAACTCTGTGAAGTAGCTCCTCTTACTCTCTTTAATTAGAACATAAGTAAAATGAGGCTTAGAGAAGTCATGTAGGCTGTGATGAACTAGTCGATGGTGAAACTAGGACCAATGTAATAATGTAGGACTAACATTTAACCATGATGCTTTCCATCAGTCCTTCAACAAATATTTATTGAGGACTTCCTAAAAGCAAGCCGTAAATGCATAGTGATATTCTAGGTTCTGAAAGAGAGATAACAGAAGGTCTTATTAGGTCTTATTATCTTAATAGGTCTTATTAGCTCATTGGCAGAACATAATGATGAACCACAGTGAACCGTGGGGTAGACTTTAGAAAACACCTCCTTTCTCTACCTTAACAACTATGCTCTTGGTAGTGGACACTGCCTGATGGAGACTTTCACCTAGACTTCTATAATGTTCTCATAATCCTTCTTGAGCCAAACTGCTCTAGACTTGACTTGGGTTTTTTTGTTTCTTTATTTTGGCCATCCTTAGACCATTTTTAAGTGTGCAGGTAGTAGTATTAAGTACATTCACATTGTTTTGCAACCGTTTTCCAGAGCTCTCCACCTTACAAAATTAAAGTTCTGTATTCATTAAACAATAACTCTATGCCCTGGTAACCATCATTCTACTGGACAAATTCATAGAGATGAATTTGACTGCTGTAGGTACATCATATAAGTGGAATTAAACCACTTATGACAAAGACAAAGTATTTGTCTTTTTGTGACTGACTTGTTTCACTTAGCCTAATACCAGTCCTCAAGGCTCATTGCTACTATAGCCTGTATCAGAATTTCCTTCTTTTAAAGGCTGGATAATAGCCATTGTATGTATATACCACATTTTGTTTATCCATTCATCTGTTAATAGAAGCTTGGGTTTCTTCTATTTTTTGATTATTGGAAATCTATGTAAATAATGCTACTATGACCATAGGTATTTAAATACTTCCTTAAGTACCTGTTTTCGATGCTTTGGAATAAATACCCAGAAATGGATCATTTAATAACTCGATTTCAACTTTTTGAGGAGCCTCCATCCTGTTTACCATAACCACACCATTTTACACTCCCCCCAACAGTGCACAAGGGCCCCAATTTCTCCACATCCTTGCCAACATGTGTTATTTTCTGGCGTTTTGTTTCTTGTTTTTGTAATACCCATCCTAGTGGGTATGAGCTGGTATCTCATTGTGGTTTTCATATGACTGGGTTTTGCTTTGTTTTTGTTTTATTTTATTTTATTTTTACTTACATGTTGCTATGCTTGCCAGATGCTTACATAGAATAGAATCACAAAACTATTTGCACCTGTCATACTGCAGGCAATTTTGGCTACTATACCTCGAGAAAGATATAACCGACTTAGGAAAGGCTTAGAAGAACAATGACAAAAATTGTAATAGAATGCTTTTCTTTGGGGGAAAGAAGGAAACTATTCTACTTCTTTGTCTGGGAAGACAAAGGCTGAGAAGGCTTATAATGGGAATTTATGAAATCAAGCTCGGAAAGAAAGCTCTTACTCAGTAGGAATGGGGGCCACTCCCTCAACTTTGTCTGAGGACAAACAAAATAAACTAGTACTTTGTGAAGGGAGTAAGACACATAAGGAATTCATTAATAAAAGTGCTAGAACCTTGTATGTTATCTTTTTCCAAAGAACACTCATTCTCATTATTACACTTGTTTTCATCCCACCCAAGTTGGGTGGATAGGACAAAGATCGTTATCCCAGGAGAAAAGTTAATCTGTGAAAAGATGACATGACTTAACCACTGGTCCCCTAATGTCTGGATTTACTTTTTGCACAATTTATGCAGCAACTTAGGTTGTGTCTGTACCTGTAAGTAGTTCAGGTTTTTAGACTATATTAATAGGTGAAAGATTTACACTTTCTTTTAAGCTAGAAAAACACACATGGACATGATCAACATGAAGTTGGGATGATGGTTTCTTCTGGAGAAGGAGGAGTAACCAAGAATATCAATGATAATTCCACATTTTGCCTTAAAACTTGAAAACAATAACTGAAGCAATTATCATCAAATATTAAACTTTTTTAAAAGCTTAAGTTTAAGAGCTTGACATTTAAAAATATTAAAGCTAGGAACGCCTTGCTGCATCCCAAAGGTTTTGAAGAGTTGTGTTTTCATTTTCATGTGTTTCCATGAATTTTTAAAATTCTTTAATTTCCTTGTTGAGCCATTCATTCTTTAGTAGGATGCTCTTTAGCCTCCATGTATTTGAGTTCTTTCCAAATTTTCTCTTGCAATTGAGTTCAAATTTCAAAGCATTGTGGTCTGAAAATTTGCAGGGAATGATCCCAATTTTTGATACTGGTTGAGACCTGATTTTTTACCTAGTATGTGATATATGTGTGTGTACATATATGTGTGTGTACACACACACACACACACACACACACACAATAGAATATTACTCAACCCTCAAAAAAATGAAATCTTACCATTTCCAATGACGTGGATGGAACTAGAGAGTATTATGCTAAAAGAAATAAGTTAATCAGAGAAATTATCATA